AACTGACCGTTTGCTGTACCCATCCGTGTAAGGCATGGCGACTCAGGCTGCATATATTCTAAAATGTCATCTTTGGGACTTCCTAATTAAAACGATTGCATGGCTTTCTCTGTTTCTAGTTTCAACGACACTCTTGGAGAAAGCATTCTTTCCCCACTTGGTTGCGGAGTGGGGTGCAGCGTAAGGTATTCTTTTGCAGTTTTGCATAGATTACTCTAGAAAAGTCACGCGGGATAAATGTATGTGCTAAAAGCTGTAAGCAGTTCTGGTTTGTAGGAAGAGAATTTTAAACCTCTTGTGTAACAGCAATGTGAGTAGATAATGTTCTGTCCACACACGGTCTATTTCCAGCCGTTTAAGGATGGATGTCAGTATTACCCAAGTAGTGGTAACAATATGCTGGCTGCTTCTCTCTTTCATGATTCAAATGAGTTACAGTAATAGAGTTGTATTAATTGGCTTTAACAGTGATGTTACATAAGAAGAGTTTGGAGTACAACATACTTCTGAGGCAGTTTGTCTCTTGAGAAGATGCGATGGTGCAGCATTGAGCCTTTGATACGCACACAAAGGCTCCAGGTTTTCCAAGAGCTCGTGAGCAGGGGCAGGGGGGGAATACAACTGCTGGGACCATCGTAATCGGGGAGTGGCATGTCACAATGGATGTGAATTGGAAATACACCACATTTGTGATGCTAAGTAATGATTTTGTTGTCAGGAGCCGTGGTAAGAAAATAACTAATCTACTCTACTTTTCATAATTTATTTTGACTGTGTGATTAACAATACGAGTTTGGAAGTTGCATGCTTCTAAGGAGATAAAAATCTATTTTACTAATACTACCGAGTTCTGCAACCAAACACATACAAGGCATTAAATATTTTTATTGGGAAGCTCATTGGTTGGGTTTTTTTTTTTCCATCCAGCAATTCCTTTCATGCCAGCCTTGTTCTGGTGTACCTGTTGTGGACGAATATGCTCCTTCTTCACGCGAGACCAGCTGTTCCGCCTGGCCAAGTTCTTGCTCAGGAGATGGGAAATGGTTGAGTAGCAAATAGAATGATGCGGTTAAACTGGAAGGGTCAGCAGTTTAAAAAACAAACAAAAAAACCCCTCCAAACCCCTAAGATGGAGCTTTGGACAAATATTCTTTAGGGGCAGTTGTTGGCTGAGGCAAGTTTTGCTGTCCCAGTTATCAGCAGTGCCTCTTCACAGGGAGATAAATTTCATATATATATATATATTTATGCCTTGTGTTCCAGGGAAGGGGAGGGGAATGCCCATATTATTATTTTTTTTAAATAAGTAACTTTCCAAGAACAAATCAGTTGAAGAAAGCCAACAAAAAAAACCCGAAAACAAACAAACAAAACCCCAACCCAAACAAAACTCCAAAAGAGACAAACAAAACAAAACCCCAAAACAGACAAACAAAAAAAAAGTTAACACTGCTGCCATTGATATTAAGTACTTTATTTTCCTTTTGCTTGCTGCTTTGATATTCCTGCTTGATGGTATACACGAGTCTGCTAATAAAGACTGTAGATGCAGAACCGCGAAAGGTGTGTTCCGTATTTGTAACAGCTTCTTCTCTCTTGGGCATCACATCTGGTGTTTCCTCCAAGTCAGTAACAAGAACCCGGTGATTCAGCTGAGTTTAGTGCCACCAGAGGGAGCTTTGTCACAGCTGATAACAACAAAGGGTTTGAACTACGCACGGAACTGTTCTTCTAGTGCACAGAAACTTCTGGGTAGTGATTACAGTTGATGGGTAATAGCCGTGTACCTTGGTATAGATTTGTTTTTTCATTTGTTACTACAAAACCTCTGCTTTAGTCTCCTTCAGAAAATCCTCCCGTCGCACTTTGTGGCAGGGATGCCGGGACGGCAGGTGGGGATTTTCCACACAGATTTCAGATTCCTGCCTGTAGGCTCGCTAAAGGAATGAATGGGTTTGGTTTTGAGGGCAACTACAGTCAATTCTGAAGATGATGATCAGACCCAAACAACTCTATTCGTTACCCAGATTTGACTGAAGCGTGTTGGTTCTAGCCCTGCTTCTGCCAGCAGCGGGAGCCAGCTGAGCTCTTCCCTGCTGCGCTAGCAGAGAATTGGGGCTGCCGGTGGTGATGGAGCTGTGAGGCCGTGGTGCCGCGTCGGGGCAGGGGAGGCTGTGGAGGTGGACGGCAGGCAGCACGGCGGGGTTCGGGGTGCCTGGGACGGCGTGGTGTGGCAGAGCACTGCACCCCGGCCCCGCTGTGTGCTGCTGCTGCCAGCCCCGGCACGGGACTGGGTGACTTCATCCAGCCCCACGGAGCCGGCGCTTGGGAAGGAGCTGGCTGTTAACATCCCGGCGAACGTTGTAATCATATTTGATACTGAACAAAGTCTTTAATGGCCTAGATAAAAGCATTCCGGTTGTTTAATTGGAAATGTCTTGCTGTTTTACATAGACCTAGTGCCCTATTTTTATGAGATTTAGAATTGTGCCGAGAAATTGTTTCCATGGAAGCAGAGATCACTAAAGAAATAATGCACTCCACATTTCCTACAGGATTATTCCTTTTACCGCCTGCTGTTCTAAATAATTAACTCTTGTAGTACTATGACAGCTTAGCATGGAATAAACAAAATAATACTTTTTTTTAGTATCAGAGAGACATTACACATACTTTTATATATATATATAAATATATATGTATATAGATATTTGGAAAGACTCTTGTCTTTCAAATAAGTCTGTTCTTTCCGTATTCACAGAGGGGGAAAGCCACCAGTGCAAAAAAGTCAATAGAAAAGTGCATTTTCTTTGGCAATTTATGCAGCTCTGTCAGGGAAACTTTAAATTACTCCTCCTTTGCCCTTCTCTTGCCACCATTCTACACTTTTTGCTTGATGATGGGGAGATTCTAAAACCATCGTCGTCCTTCTGGCCACCTTTGAGGGAAGAGACAATGCAGTTTTTAACTAAGGTACCAGCAATGAGAATCTTCCACCAGCAGGGAAAACAGACCCTCTTGTTTAGTTACTTGAAGGTTTTCTTCCATATGTTACTTTTGACAAACCAGTTATTTTTTTTCTCTACTTTCACTGTAAGTGTCTGTAAAAAGTGGAAACTGTCAAGTGCTAATCTGAGGCTGAGACCAAGCATGAATGTCTGTAAACATCATACAAGCAAACTATTTACCAACAAGTCCTGTGAACTTCCCATCCATATGGCGCTTTCTAAGCACAAGGGCAGCACAGCTTTCGGCCGTATATAAACTGCCTTCTTAGAATCATTATGGCTGGAAAAGACCTTTAAGATCATCAACCATCACTTCACCAAAGATGGTCGTGAGCTTTAAGTTTGCAGCAGTTGAGGCTCTGTCCTCCAGAGAGAAGAAAACCGAACCCTACTCTCTCTAAAGTTCATCATGAAATAAAATAAAGACAAAATACGGGTATGTAGGTGACAGTTACATAGATTTTGACTTTGAAGGAGGGATGTGAATTATTTTTTTTTTTAAAGCAGATTATTATAGGGAAATGAATGACAGAAATTAAAAATGGGAAAAGAGTTACTAAACTATTATCAAAGAATCATCAATACGACTACTTGAAATACCTAGTGATTTTAATAATAGTTTTAACCGTAGATCTTAATTATTTTCTAAGAAAGGTAACTGCTGTTATTTTTACCTGAAGGAATGGGAAACAGAGAGGTGTGATAATGTGCTATAAAGAAGCCAGGAATAATTTGAAGAACTTGCTTCATCTTTGCTCCCTGAAGTAGCGTATATTTCTGTGGCTTATTTAGAAATAGGTGTAGCTGCAAAGTTCAGCTCCAGATTGTGCCCTTCTCTAGTGGCAGAGGGTATTTACATCTGGAACTCTAATTGCAAACCTGTGCTGCGTTATAAATACTCACTGGCAGCCAGAGTAAGGTCCCACTGTTCACACAGACACAAGGCGTCACTCCAAGCATCCCACCTTGCGTGGATTTGAAGCAGGGCAGGCCCTCAGGAAAGCAGCAGCACCGGTAAACGCAGCTGACTGCAAGGCAGCGTGCAGGTTGTGTGGTTGGGAGAATGGCGTATACGCTGTTCTGCAGTCATTGCTGGTCACAAAATAATGATTTATAAAGTGTCTGACGGTGTTTGACAAATCAGATGAATGGGACTTGCTTAATGCAAACTGGAAAATATCTTTCAGCGGCTGCCAAAACACATGGAAACAGTAACTCCTGCTCTGTAGATCATTAGGACACTTGGGAGCTACTGGAGTGTACTGCGAAAGGCATTGCAAAAGGCATTACTCAAGGCTCCGATTGAAAAATTTCTTCAGAAACGGCTAACAACTTTGTAAGGGTAATGCAAGCATGAAAATCACCATTCCTAGCACTGCCTTGGGATGAGTATGTGCCAGAGGAAGGGAGGGAGAGAAGCTTTCCATGCAGGAAGGTGAGACTGAGCTCCTGTGCCCTGTAAGTAGGAGAGCAGCCATCACCCTGATGAACAGCCGCTGCTCGGGAATCGGCAGCCTCTCCAGGGTTCTGCTGCAGCACACACAAACATGCATTTGCAAAGAAAATTCTAAAGAAAAGGACTTTTTTTTTTTTTTTTTCCAAAAAATGTCTAAAGAAGGAAAAGGGCAAGCTGCTTGTGCCTTAGTCCCTAAGGAAAGCCCAGGGTAGGAGCTATGCTTCAGGTTGGCTTTTGTCTCTTCCCTGTTGTTTCCTCACCAAGGAAGAGGGATGGATGGCAGGCATCTGGTGGCAGGCTTTGGTGCCACTCCCTGAGAAGCGATAGATGAAAGTGCAGCTTGTTGACTCCTCTAGGATTCGGGTACAAGATGCCACTTGTTTTTGAAGGAGAACCTGTTTGGTGGGTCTGATTTGAATCTTGATAAAAGGAGCAGCACACCAGCGTGTAGAAACGAGTAGACTCCATGAATGGATCAAAGCTTCAGCTACTGCCTGCTGTCACCCAGGACTTTATCCGCGCTTTTCACCGGCAATATGGAGCCTCTCTTGGGGGTTTTGTTGGGTTTGATTCTGGCAGTAGCTTCATCAGTGCAGAACAACTGTTCCTGTGCAACCAACAAGTGGACAGTATGTGCCCAGGACGGATCTGAGAACTGCAGCTGCACACTGGTAGGTTCAAATCACAGGGTAGACTGTTCCACACTGACTTCAAAATGCTTGCTGATGAGGGCAGAAATGACCCCCCTGAAGGAGAAGCGCTTCTGGGGCCATCCCCATGGGCTGTTAGATAGTGATGGCATTTACAATCCAGACTGCGAGGACAGTGGTATCTTCAAAGCCAGGCAGTGCAATCAAGCCGATACTTGCTGGTGCGTGAACACTGCCGGAGTAAGAAGAACCGAAAAGGGTGACAAAAGCCTGAGTTGCGGTGAACTGGTTAGAACAAGCTGGATCTACATTAAACTGAGGCACAAAAAAAGGTCCAGTGGCTTCAGCGTTCCCGACATAGCAAATGCCCTGAAGCATCTGTTTGAGAGCCGATACAAACTGCACCCCAAATACATCACAGCCGTTAAGTACAATTCTCCACTTATCCAAATCCACCTGAACCAGCAGAACCCTGAGAAATCTAGGTGTGACGTAGATATAGCTGATGTAGCCTATTACTTTGAAAAGGATATCAAAAATGACTCTGTATTTCATTCAAACAGTACGTTAACTGTCTCTGTCAATGGAGATGCTCTGGACATTGAAAAAATAAGGATTTATTACATTGATGAAAAGCCGCCAGAGTTTTGCATGAAGCTACTGGCTGCTGGCGTTAGTGCTGTGGTGACAGTGGTGACGCTGATGGCTGGCTTTGGCATCGCTGCGCTGGTTATTCTGAGGTGGCTGCGGACAAGAAAATATAAGAAAGTTGAGATTAAAGAAATGGGTGAAATAAGAGCAGCAATTGATTGAACAGTGATTGTTCTAAATTATTCTAGTTTAGTAAGAATGACTTTTTTGGGTATAAACTAATTTGGGACTCAGTTATCTAAATATTTTAAATTAGTCCCAATTTAGAGGCTAGGAAAACCGTTACAGCTGTCTGTTTAGTGTAACACAGGCGGCTTTCACTCACACTGCAGGCCTGGTTCAGCTTGCTTAAATACTCTGAGTGGCTCTTGGCTCTTACCGAAACTCAAATACTTGCCTTGCTGTAATTGGGTTATAGAGCTGCTTTTCTGTTGGTAAGGACTTTTTTTTTAAAATGTGGGTTTGGTTTTTTTAAGTCGCTGGAACTTTATCAAGAAATAATTTCAGAAATACTACTAAATAACCAAATAAAGTTGTGATAAGACACTCTACAGCACTAGAGGCTTTTATACGGAGTCGTTTGTTAGGAAACGGTACTGTGGTCCCTTCCAGGTGCGGAGATCCCAAGTTTCCGAGTTTGTATTCAGGCAGCACAGTGAGCTTTTCCCACTGGTGCTCTTTAACAAGGGTCTGACACTCCTAGTCAGCAAAGATCCCTCGATCCCAATGCAAGTGTCAGTTAACCTTGGTGTTCTGCCCACATTCAGACTGCGGTAACAGCTTTCTGTCTACCTAAATTCCCCTTGCAAGTTTAATGGGAGGGGATACTTTGCGGTGGTGTACAGCTTCACAGAAATACTACACAATGCTTCAGGACAAGCTGGAAAAGAGCTTTATTCTAGTAGAGCTGCAGGGGGAATTTAAGAGCAGAGTGTAATTACTGAAGTTGGAATTTGGCCAAGACACCAGAACTGGACTTCTTTGCTACCTACTCATCTGCTGCATTCCTTGTTTGGGAGGTCATATCCACCATGAAGGACATTTTCAAGAAAACAATTCTAGTTGTTAAATGTTGAAATACTGGCAGTTATATTCTCTGTACGGTGTACGGATGTCATGAAGTCCCATCAGTCTAATCTGCTTACATTCAAAACGAGACCGCAACACACAGGCACTGCAGCAGGATCAGCGCTTTTATTTTGTTAATTAGTTTCAACATTACTAGTTTGTAATTCTAGTAACAGTCAGTAATGAGCTACTTCTAGCGCAAACTATTAAATATGTATCTCTGATTCAACTGACTGAACAGGGTACCAGGAAAAAAATGAAGATGCTTTGATTCGGTTTCTGCCTTTGTTTATATAGAAGAGGAGGAGATTTGCTGTTTGGGCAGGGGTGTATGTTTGTTTAATATTTTTTAGCTCAACATCCACTCTCTCCATTTAATCTTATTCTTGTTCACTTCCCTGCTGGAAAAACTCGGGCTTTGGATACATAGGATGGGGCAGATGCATCACGTTTCCCCAAAATTAGATTTTTATGCAATTGCATCAGCAGTATTAATACACTCAAAAACTTTCGGAGCAGGGTCTATAATTTATTGTCTGCCTTACGGAAACACATCCAAGCTGGTTGTTTTTCAGTCAAGTATATACATTAGTACTGATAGAAGATGAAGTGGGAATTTAGTATCTAGGCTGAATTTTCCCAAGTCATAGGAAAATTCAGAACTTAGCCTAACTCCATGCAATTTTGCAATTAAGCTTCGGATTAAATTAAAAATCTAGAGCTGGGTAGCTCTAAGTGCTGAAGAAATGTAGGATCAGAATGAAAATTTTCCAAGTACATTGCTTAACCACTTTCTTAACTTATGCAGCGCTGATAAAAGCTACATGTTTGAGAGGTTGGTGATGTCCTTCCATCAAAGATCTTGAAAAGTTGGTGCTGTCATTTCGTCAGAGATCATGAGATGTTCCATTTTCTCTGGGAATCTACTGTGGCTTTCAACATTCTTCTAAAATCACCACATTTTTCTCATTTCTGTCACAAGAAAAAAAAAATCAAATGATGAGATTTTGTATTAGAATATCAACGTGCAGGCATATTTTGATTAGGAGAGGCAAAAGTGACTAATTGTTGAAAAAAATCTTAACAGGTAACAGTTTCAGCATCTTTCTTTGGCTCCTGCTTTTCTTTTTAGAAGCGGGGATTGAGAAGAGAGGCTGTTGTGGTGCCATTCATGTTTTTATTAACCATTAAAGGACTGCCCTGTGAAAATCACGTGTTGTGGTCAGTTATTTCCTTGCTAGTCATCAAGCACCAGTAGACTGCATGCTGCTAGGGGACTGGAAATGCACTGGGGTCATTTCATAGGAGTGATAAGGTATGTGTCTGCAATTAATCAAAAGAGTGGGAAGATTAATTGCAGTGCAGAGCTCAGAGAACCTCTCTTTGGATTAGATCAGTCTACTTGAATAAAGCTATGTAAAGCTACTGTAGGATCTGGTCTCTAATAAACCAAACATACCCATGGCTCCTGCTAAGTACTCATTTCTCTCCTGCCGCTCCAGTCATACCACCTCTTGGGCTATATATTAATATCTTTTGTGCACATGGTAAATCAAGTATTTTACTGTAACAGTCCATGATGTTCAGCTTGTTTGAGTTTCTGTCCACTGCTGTTCTCACTGAAAAGGAGAAAATTAATTCCTTCTCAGCTTTAAATTTTGCAAAATTAAAATGCTTTTTATTAGTCATTCTAATTTAGAAATTTCTAGTTATCCTTTTCCTGATTACATCATACGGTTCTAATGGTGTGTTTGTTCGTTGCTTTTAAGTAATTAGGCTTTATACTCTTCCCAGTGTGATCTGTGGGCACAGCCAGCACAGTAATGGTGGTTTTCTGTTCTAGACGGCACCAGCTGACAGCTTTTAAGTAGTGCCCTGAACAACGTGATTAACATCAATCTCGTATCAGTTTCTGTGGGGTCTGCTCAGGCATAAATGTATTCGGGGGATTGTGTTGTTTTGGAATGCTGTTTTAATACTCCGTAGGTATAAATGCATACATATTTATGCATCTGTCTGTGGGTAGATACAGAAATAAACCCATAGCTGATATGAAAGAGTGCCTTTGTGCTATTACCCACCTGTATTAGATAACAGCAGGTATGCTTGCTTTAATGATGGTAGAGGTGTTTGTTGCCTACATTATGTTCTGCAATTCCAGCTGCTGAAGGGCTGCCTTAGAAAGCTCAAAGTAACTACTGGCAGAGAAGAAAAATCCTGTCTCTGTGCTAGGACTCTGAAGAGGATAGTACTGCCCTTTCTGTACAGCATTACTACCTTTGTGCAACCACACAAAGCAGGTTTGCGCCTTTGCTTTTAACTTTTAGTTAAAACTTTTTTAACCGCTCAAGATGTGAGGAAAGTGCCAGAAGCAAAGCCAGCACTACAGCAAGGAAATGAAAGATAAGGATGCATGGAAGGATTAAAACCTTCTTAAACTCTGTTCCCCCTATTCCCCCTGGTACAATCCATGCCTGCTTACAGATGCAAGTATGTATTCTCCAACGAATTGACACAAAATCCCTGCATTGATTTGCAAATGACTGGTGTGTGTACACACGTCTGTTCCCACACCTATACTTAAAGACACACACATCGCTATTTCTGTTAGAGCAGGCAAGCCCCAGGGAAAGCTTTGTGGCAGCGGATCCTACACTGCATTCAGCCAGCCTGCAGCCTGCTCTGCCCTTATCAGTGATAAAATAGCCCAAACCTGATGCTGCTTTGGAACAACAAAGAATCCTCTTCTTGTCCCATCTTCCCCTCATTAAGAATGATCTCTTTATGGATGTTTATACTGGAATTATGACCAGATTAGGTTAACGATGTGAAAAAAAACACGCCTGCCTCATAAAGGCACCCAACCCCTCTCTTCTTGTTGAGATGGTAAAACACCAGTATGTCTGCGATGTTAAGCACTTAATGACAACTACAGACAAGATCCCCTCAATAGTCCATAAAACGTTTAAACCTCGGGGAATCACCTTAGAAGAAACAAACCAACTTCTACTGCTTACACATCCAAACTACTTTTTCAGTGAATAGCTAAAGAAGTAACAAATTGGCCCTTCCTCCACTTCTCCTTAATTGGACCAGTAAATGCTATTAAACAGATAGTCTTCCTCGTGCAGGTATAATTATCCTTTCCAAAGCATTTCCACTGATTTGCCTCAGGCTTTTAAGTACTGCAATTACCTCTTTTTTTTTTTAATGCTAAAATTAATCTTAAGTCATTACAATTGCTATCAGAGCAGGAAAAATCAACTTCCAGAACTTTTACAATTATTATTCAGCAGTTCTAACAAAATTCCTTGTACCAGGATTTATCTAGTTAAAATTCCATACATGCCAAGCAGCCTGACAAGATTCACATCTCATTTTCATGACGATCCCTATTCTCCGAGGGATAACACTCTTACAGTCCTACTCCAGCACAAATCAAGCACCACAGAAACAATTAGGGAGACTTTGTATTATCTAAATGAAAGACTGAATAAGAATGCATTTCTAATATTCCACTGAGATTTTTACATGTGGATCCAACAGTACTGGTGGCATATACACCCAACCTGTTACAGCTTTTTTTTTTTTTTTTTTTTTAAATAAACGTCTGTCCTTGTAAGGCTTGAAATGAGAAATCTCAGCATTTTTGCTAGTCTGGTTGCACTCAGAAAAGCAAAGTGGAACAACTAGAAAGTAACTGGATGTGGCTATGCTGTAGCCACGGCACTGTGCAGTGTAGACACGCTTATTTTTAGCACAGGTCTGTTGAGTTCTCCTTTTTTTCTTCCTATCTTCATGTGCTCTTTTCTCTTGTTGGAAATAAGATAGCTTTATAATTGTCTCAATTCTGCTGAAGGACTTAAGCAAAATCTCTTGAGAACAGAGAGTTAATTAATGCTCCCTTTTTCAGCCTCTTTAAATAAATTTTGCATTTTAGATAGCTAGTAGAAGAATTCTGTGATATTTACTATTTTCACTGATGTTTTTAGCCAGGTCGGCTGCTTTAAAAGCAGTTTAGAAAGTATGTGCAAGAATCAGAAGCTAGGAGAACAAAAATTGTTAAGTGACAGATTCTCAGAATTTCTGCCATT